GCAATAAGTGTTTCTTATTTGTTATTAACGGCAGAGTATTCACCCAGGAGTTGCTTGAGACAATCAACAGAATTGATGATTTTCTCCCATCTCACCAACTCTGTCATTGGATAATGTCATTCCTTATCTTAGACATCTTTAATGGCTTTGTTGTTGTCGTTTACTCAGAATATACAGGCGTCTGTAACTCTGGCCTCAAACCCCTTGCCACATTTCTCAAGTTCTCCTTAATGGAAGTTCTACAGAGCTCTGCATCTTAAAGAAATTGAGGATAGTTAGTCAGTAACTGTTTTATAGTAGACGGTTTGGGTCTATAGTCTGTGTATTTGAGCCATGGAATCTGTGGTGTTTGGTGTAGTGTGTACATTTTCAATGAAAAGGTCAGTGAATCAAACCAGGTTCTGGTGACATAACAATTAAAGGAATTAAAGGACTTTGCAACGCCCAGAGCTTCATGTGTCATAAATAGTGCTCCACTGAAACTGCAAGAGTTGGGGCATAGCTCACACGTGGACCTGGCCATGCATGCCCGTGAAGAAATGACAAATTATGATGGCCTCATGTACGAAAATGATCCACTTTGATTATACCTTGACCTTTGAGAGGATTTGAGATGACTCAGTGATTTGATCAACACATTTAAAATAGAACAAACATTTACATACAAATCATGTATTTGTTGAAACTACTTCCAATTTTTTAATTGTTGTGAATGAAGGAAGCTGTCCTTGTTTGCACATGCTAACTGCTATTATTCATATTATGTAAATGATATTTATTCTTTACAACACTGCACCACCAACCCACTGCCATCAAGTCAATTACAACTCGTCGTGCCCCTGTCTAGGGGTTTCCAAGACTTTAAGTCCTTAAGGAAGGGACAATCTTTGCTTTCTTTCTTAGAGCAGTTGATACTTCGAATGCTTAGAAGGCCCGTGCTTAATTCATAGCACCACCAGCGCTCCTTCAGAACTCTGCAAGGAACTTGAACATTCCATTTGATGGGTGTGGAAACTGAGGCACAGAGCGTATCAAACACGTGAAATAATAAATGACAGCAGAGATTCCAAGCCACTGCCCTTTCCATTACCTCATGCAGAGCTGTGCATTTACTAAATGTACCACAGAAAACGAGCACATCTGTAATACAGACATACTCTCACTCTCACCCAAGGCTGTGCAGACATGGCCACACAGTCCTTTTCCCCACCTACATACTCAGAAGGTCTACCATATATACTCGTGTATAAGCTGAGTTTTTCAGCACATTTTTAATGCAGTTTTTGTGGTAAAATTAGGTGCCTCCTCTGATATTCGGATCAGCTTATACTCGAGTATATATGGTAAGCTATAAATATAAAATATTTTCTTGTGGGTAATGTACTGTTGGTTTTTTAAAAACCCTCAAATCAGAGCTGATTTTCCTAGCATGTGCTCTTCTAATAGCCTTCCAAAATTTTCAAATTCACCTTGGTAATTTGGGGCTCCACCAGCTATTCTCCATTGGCTATCTGCAGGACAGTGAGAAGCGTTTAAATTTAATTTACCAAATGGGTTTTGAAAAATAGGCTCAGATTCTGTGTCTTTGATGACTGGTACATTCATCGGTACTAGTTAACGTGCTCAGAGTCCCTGGGTGGTGTAAGTAGTGAGCGCAATGGACATTCAGATTCACCCCAAGATGTTTCTTAACTCGGAGAAAGACCTAGTTAAGACTAGTTCTGCAAAGAGCTGTTGGGAACTTTGTGGAGCGTGGCTCCAGTCGGACATGTGTGGGATCCCCATGAGCCAAAAGTCATTTGACAGTCACACGTGGTGAGGTGGAGTGCTCCGGACAGTGCTTAGCATTCACTTTAGGCACTCTTTCCCCCAGAGGCACTGTGGGTGAGGCATTGGACGGCTAACTGCAAGGTGGACAGTCCAATAAATTCACAGGAGAGAAGTGATGCTGTCTGCTCCTGTAAAGTGTTCAAGCCTCAGAAACCCTGTATGGGGTTGCTATGAACCAGGATTCACTCATTGCCTGTGGGTTCCCCTGTAATATCCTTTTTATGCCAAGATTAGAAATAATTTGGGGGAATAGCTATAATAAAAACCACAAAAGCAAGTTTTTGAGTAGTGATGAGAGGAGTAATTGTGTTTTGA